CTAACGCTTCTAAAAGGATGAACGGATCAGTCGTGTTTTTGAAATTCGAATTCAAAATTATCTCATGTTTTTATGATTTTAGTTTTAATATTTTTAAGAATTATCTTTAGAATTATCTCGTGTTTTTAGGAATTATCTTTACATTATTTTTAGGGATTTAGAAAGCTATAAATACCCTTCAGGGTAAATTTGAAAACACATTCAAATTCACTTTTCTTCTTTACTTTGGAATTTATAAAAGTTTTATTTATTTTTATTTTCAAAATGCTAAGTATGATTGTTATACTTAGCTAATTTCTCCAAAAGCCAAGAGCTGAAACAATGATTCAATTCCGATTGTGAGGATTGAAAAACACCAGAAACTGGAGAAATAGGATTGACAATCGGTCTTTCCTTTAAAATCAAAATGCTTTTAAATCAAAAAGTATATGTCGGTTTGAATGTTGTTATGGTTTAAAGTTGGGAGGAAGAATCGACTAGTAGCAAGTTCAACTTCATATGAAAACACTTAGCAGCGGTCCGTTAAGGAAAATTTCGATCGGGCTTCTCATTGAGACATCATAGTTCGAGTCCAGTTTTTCCAAATCTTTAAAATTGAGTCGGTGCTGATGACGATAGTTATAGTTAGTCCACAAAAGGACTGAAATTCAAATATAGCTTTAGGACTATCAGTTTACAAGAGAGATAAACAAGTTACAAGGGTTGGGCCCTGTAGACTATAACCGACAGTTATCCGAAGTGAAAATTTATTTCAAGGGTCAGTTGGAATTAAGACAAAGCTAAAGTCTGATGTTGTTTTTACCATAAGTTCTCTTTATTTCAATTTATTTTATCCTTATCTCATATTTTAAACAATTTTAAATCCCCTACTCATCTTTATCCAAATCCATATATATCTTGTAACACCCCAACCCATATCCGACCCGAATACGAGTCTGAGATGTCACATTAACTTTTCAAATCATTTACTTTGACAAAAAAATAAAATAATTAAATAAAGATTCAGTTCGACATTTTCAATAAACCAAATAATTGCTATTATGTAAAACATATTGATTTACAAAACTTATCAGAGCGTATCTGACACCAATCTTTTATCTTACATGCCAACTACATTTCATAAAATGCATATAATTCAAGATTTTTCTGATTTGAACTTCAGGAAAGAGATGTTGACCTGATGAGCTCATCTTCGATCCCTTTTTTCCTCTTCTCGAAACCTACGTGTGAAACATTCACACGCTAAGTCGATGACTTAGTGAGGCATTAACACTTAAAAATAAAATCTCAACTCTAATTCCTACTCTACACACTTCATAGAATTATAGTAATTTAATAAGCTCATAATACCTACAAAACATAATTACATACATATATATATACCATACCAAATCATATATTCTTTGATGTACTAATTACACATAGACATACATATCATCATGTACATTCATAATCTTTTATATGTTATCATCACTTCTCCCTTTTTATATTATCCTCTTCTTATTCTTCTTATCTTTAATACATATACATATCATATAACATCACATCACCAACAAACATATAACATCACATAGAATTTTCACATCTTATATCTTTAATGGCCCATGTATACATGTGAGAACTATAAATATATGAGTCTATAGAGGTTGTGCACTAATGTTGTCACCATAGCTCATATAAATGCACCGAAGTGCCACGTAGAATTGCACCGAAGTGCCGCGTAGAATTGCACCGTAGTGCCATATAAGATGTCCCTAAGGACCACGTAGAAAATTCCTTAAGAATCATATACATATGCTAAGGACCAAATATGTGTCTCAAAAGACCTCATACATGTTCCAAAGAATACATATATGTCCCGAAGGACCGCGTAGACCCTCGACTCTTGGCATGCCAACTATACCTCTAGCTCTCAAGACACATAACATGGGCATTGATATGTCACATATTCATACATTCGTATAAAATAGGCATATAATCTCATAGCTTATTGTCACGTAGATCGTGTAATATTCTAGTAGAATCTCATATCTTATTATCATATATATCATATCACATATCTTGGTATTCACATAGACAAATAGTCCTATAGATCACTTTCACATAGCTTATATTATACTTTCATGTAATCACACATCTCTTGTCACATGTCTTATATTTTATGATCATATAATCATATAACTTATTATCACATATCTTATAATCACATACCTTATTTCATTTCTCCCTTTAATTACATAAGTCAATTATATTTGTTCACATGGTTTATCACATGCACATGCATTCACATAGATCATGTATAAAGATGCACTTAACATCTAGACATATGCATATACTCATGTACACATAAGCATCATAGCACTACATGCTTGTATTCGTGTACTCATGTAATCTAATATCATAATTAAACTTATCGCAAGTCTTAATTCCATAAATAACTTATACTTAATATCATGTACTCATTTTCATATAGTCTATATATATATATATATATATCATAACTCCATGTTTTACATAATTACTTATCTCTCATCATTTATTTACTAATTTCATATATTTACCTAGTTCAGTTTCACATAGCTTATCACATATACAAGTCTTCTAATAAATTATCATCAAAAGCTCCTATAATATCTCTCTATGGCTTCATAGATTTTTACTATAAATCTTATTTATTATAAATTCATTTAAGCCTATAGATCTTTCCCATATAATTTATCTTACATGTTTATATAGTCACTTCCTCTTGTTATCACATAAGTCATTGGTATTTTACATAGTTCGTGATCCTATAATTTATATCTCAGGTTCATATAACTCATCTAACATTTTCCTATAATACATAAATCATTTCCATATAACACATATCATATAAATCCATACCACCTAACATGTAATACAACAAATCATATTCACGTAATATCAAACATAATCATACTTCTAATCATACAATCATATATTCAACATATTGGAAACATACTTGTCGCAAGTCCAATTTCCATATACAATACGTATATTCTAATAATACGCACTCACCTGGCATCACTCGTTAATACCGATCTGTTATCTTTTCCTTGATCGATCTTACTTGCTAAGTTCCGGAACTTGTTTAGGCTCTGTATCTACATAGTAATTCATTAATACTTATCAGTATACTAATTAATATATTCTAAACTATCATTTCTTAGGCTAAAAGAAAAGTTATTTTCATCTTTTAATGAAGGTATGCATCGATGCACTACACCATGTATCGATGCATCCCTTGACGGGTGCATCGATGCACTATCTATGCATCGATACATAAATCTCATTCGATGTTTGTATTTTAAGGGGGTGCATCGATGCACTACTTGTGCATCAATACACTGATGACATTCGATGTTTTTATTTTTATTTTAAAGGAGTGCATTGATACACTTCATGTGCATCGATAAACCTTGAACAATTTCTGGGATTTTACCCTTGATGCATCGGTACTCATTGAATGTGCATCGATGCATATAGCCCAGAAATGTTATTTTTTTAGCACGAAATTCCTTCATAATCCCCTCAACACTACATAATTCACCTCCTTTTATATCCCTAACTTGCATACACTTACTTAAACTAATTATTATCCATTCAATACCTCTAAAACTTAGAAATCTAATCCTCCATATAGAATTTAAGAATCTCACTCAAATTCCAACATGTTCTAAATCTAGTTCTAACACTTCATATCCCTTAATTAGCTTGATGACAAGTCAAATCTCACTTCCAATGCTTATTATGAACTCTATTCCAAGATTTCATTTTTCTACTTCCTTTCTTAAATTCTTCATATACTCCTCATTTTGTGGTTTTAAGATAACCTAAACTTTCCTTAAGCTTAGTTATCATCTAATGATCATAACCCAGTCTTAAATTCAGTTAAATATCAACCAACAAGAAATCTTACCTTTGCTCTTGGCTTCCACACGTGAAGAAGAAAGGAGAAGAAGAGAACTCTGGAAACTAGAACCTTGTCTCTCTTCATTTCCACGTGTTATATCCTATGTAAAGGAGGAGGAAAAAATCTTCCTTGTGGAATTACTATTATACCCTTCAAAATTTCCATAATTATCATCTAATCCAATAAGGAATTATTCCTATTTAAGTCATTAAACTTTTAACTTGTTTCGAAATCGAGCACATAATTTTCAAAATTTACAATTTAGTCACTTACTCTGATTTCGGGATGTTACATATCTTATCTCATATTTATCTAGATCTAGAATCAGGAAGTCCACAATATCATAAACTTTAAATTTTTTGTAGACCGACCCTATTTTTTCTTTTTAAGAAAAATAAATTATTTGATAGTAAAACCACGTTTGTTATTGATCAAGGCACATTCCTGTGGCCCAAATGTCAACTGACACTGATATCAGCGTGGGGTGGTGGAACTAACCAAGGTGGAGTTAACCGAATTGTGTTTTCTGCCCAAATAATCATTTTATATTGCAAAGTTTAGTTGATTTGGAAGACAACTATTGTCCCATTGGAAGACCTTGACTTGGAGATCGCATACGCATGTGCTTCGCTAATTAATTTAATCTATTAGATTAGATACTATTGTCTGAAAACGTTTAATTGGTGTGGTTCACACTGCAGCTCCTCCAAATTATGGTTTAACTCTGATGATTTATTTTGAGTTCTACGATGAAAAATAATCCAATGTTAATATAATATGTGTGTGTGAAGGAAAAACAAAGCAAAGGATTGTGCTTTCTTCTGCTCCCTCTTCCCAAACCCACACAATCACTACTCTTCCATGGCTGCTTCTTCATAATCCTCTTCTCGTCACATGTATAGACACCCCTACCTGGGATCCACTTTAACCCAACAGAGGCTCAACAATATCAAAGTTTTGTTTTATTTAATTCCTTTCCTTACCAACTTGCGAATCTTAACCTACCCACTGAGGACAAGGGAAGAGCCGGCATCTATAATATATAGCATATATCATAATAATATAAACGAGGCATATTAAAGCAATGCGCATTCCTGAGCAAAAGACAGTTTTGTTGAGCATCTTGCACTAGCACTCTTTCTTCTTCAAAAAAGAAAAGCAAAGCTCCCTTGCTGTTTCTATATCTCTTTTGCTTCAATAACTCAATCCATACTCCTCCATGGCTGCTTCTTATTCTTCCTCTTGTCCAATGAAGCATCAAGTTTTCTTGAGCTTCAGAGGTGAAGACACACGCCTTAACTTCACTGCTCATCTACTCCAAGCTTTGGAAGACAAGGGAATATCAGTCTTCTTCGATGAAAAGAAATTGGAAAGAGGGGAACAACTTTCACAAGCACTTTCAAATGCAATTGCAGCCTCAAACATCTCACTAATCGTTTTATCTGAAGACTATGCTTCTTCGAAATCATGCTTGGCTGAACTCTGTGACATCATGGATCGCAAGCACAATCAAAAACATATTGTTCTTCCTGTCTTTTACCATGTTAATCCTTCCCATGTGCGACATCTTGGTGGTACTTTCAAAACATCGTTTGAAAAGCATGAATCAGAAGCGCTAAAACAAGTAGATCAATGGAAAAAGGCCTTTGCTGAAGTCGGTAAATTAAAAGGGTGGCATATAGCATCCCACAGGTAACTATATATATTTCTCTTCTTATTATTATGCTTATTTGTTTTAGTTTATACATATACATTTTTATTATTTGCTAGACCTGAAACCGAGTACATCAAGGAGATTGTTGATGATGTTACCAAAAAAATTGAGGAATAGCTTGCCTAGTCCAAGCGCTTGTGACCTATTGGTTGGAACAAATTATCAGAAAAACTTGATTTTGGGTCTAATTGAGAAAGAAGAGAGTCGTGTAATAGGACTATGGGGACCGGGAGGCATAGGCAAAACTACCCTTGCTGATGCCGTATTTCATGAAAACTCTTCCAAGTTTGACGATCGTTACTTTCTTCAAAATGTTAGACAGAACATAGAAAAACAAGGGAGGGAATCCATACGAAATGAACTTCTTTCCAAATTATTAAACGAAAACGATCTTCGTATAGACACCCTTTCCATAGGATCCCCTTATCGAGAGAGGCTGAACAGTAAAAAAGTGTTTGTTGTCCTCGATGATGTTAGTCATCCAGACCAAATAGATTTTATGGGTGTTGGTCATTTTGGTCGTGGAAGTAAAATCATTCTAACATCTAGAGATAGAAGAGTACTTTACAATGGCGGAGCTGAGGAAATACATGAGGTAAACAAGTTAGATAAGGACCACTCTCTCCATCTTTTCTCTACATTTGCATTTAAACAGTTGAATCCCGATCCTGGTTTTGAAGCGCTATCAAACAAGTTTGTGGAATATGCCGATGGCAGCCCTCTTGCCCTTAAAGTTTTGGGTTCGCAGCTATATAAAAAGTCTAAACAAGATTGGGAAAGCGAGGTGCGTAGGCTAAGGGAATATGGCCAACCAGAAATTTTACAGATTTTGAAGAGTAGTTTTTGATGGGTTAGGTAAACCAGAGAAAGATATATTTCTTGACATAGCATGCTTCTTCAAAGGGGAGTCCAAGGAAGAGATAGAAGAAATTCTAAGTTGCTTATATGAGGGTGCAGTGTGTGGAATAAACAATTTGCTCGATAAGTGCCTACTTGATATTACACTCTCTAAAACAATTTATATGCATGATATGCTTGAAGAAATGGGCAAGGACATTGTTCGTCAAGAATCTAAAGACCCTGGAAATCGCAGCAGGTTATGGAATATCAAAGACATCGATCAAGTGCTTAAATATAATGAAGTAAGCAATAATTTTATTTACTTGCCATACCATAGAATCTGCTCAAGTGTTTATTTGGTTAGTAATATAATTATATTTTTTAACGAGTAATTTAATATAATGTCCATAAATTTCTCTATATTAAATTACTAATACTTGATAAATTATTTCTTGTTATTAGATGAATAAATCAATTGAGGGAATAAAGTTATCGCCAAATCGAATTAAAGACGTGATGTCATTATGTCCTTCTGGTTTTGCGAACATGCTTAATCTTAGATATATCCACATCAATTCATACTTTACGGTGTTCTTCGACAAGCTACTTGCAGACAATGTTGATAGCGTATCTCTTCCTAATGAGTTACGGTATCTTTATTGGATGTTTTACCCCTTCAAATCCGTATCACCAAGTTTTAATCCAAAAAATCTTATTGTGTTGAAATTACATTTTGGCGGCATGGAACAACTTTGGAACGAAGATAGTCAGGTATTTTATATTCTTTTATTTAATTTTGATATCCAAAATAAACAGATATTGTTATAAAGTAATGTAGTTATTTTATATTTTCATTGTACAGGATCTTGTTAATTTGAAGATAATTGAACTTATTTGTTGCAAGAAGCTAAGGAAGATCCCTAATCTATCGGGAGCCATCAACCTTCAAAGCCTTATATGTACAAGGTGTAAAAATTTGGTTGAACTTCCTCGCCTCAACCATTTGGCATCTCTTGAGAAGCTTGATCTTTCTGGTTGCATGACTTTAAGGAAGATTCCTAGTCTATCAGGAGCCATCAACCTTAAATTATTTAACTGCAATGATTGCGTAAATTTGGTTGAACTTCCTTGCCTTAATCATTTGGCGTCTCTTAAAAGCTTTGAATTTGAGCGTTGTCATAAACTCAAGAAGTTTCCTGAGCTTCCAAATATCTTTTCTGAGTTGGATTTTTCACACACTGAAATAGAAGTGGTGCCTGATTCAATTCAACATCTTGTCGGACTTAAAAAGTTGAAGTTGAGTTACTCAAAGGTGGAACATGTATCGAGCAACATTTCGAAGTTGGGATCCCTTCGTGAGTTGGATCTTGATCATTGTGAAAGTCTCAAGACACTTCCAAAGCTTCCACTATATCTGTGGCGCTTGGATGCAAGTAATTGCAGATCATTAACAAAAGTATCGTTCACCACTCATAATTTCAATTCCTCCCATGACGGTGGTGATGGTGCTCCTGGAGAAGAAACCATTTCCATGTCATTCGTGAACTGCAGATGGTTGGATCAGAATTCAATTAAAAACATTGGAGCAAATGTCATGCTTCGAATTCAATCCCTAGCACAGAGATGGTCAAGGAGGAAAGGGATATCCCGAGAGGAATACAGGGACTCTTTTCGAAATCTATTGTTCTGCTGTTTCCCGGGGAATGAAGTTTCAACAGATGTGTTTTTCTACGGAAGCATGAATAATACGTTAAATTTGAAGATTAGGCCAAATGGGTTTAGTGGGAACAGATTCTTAGCTTTTGCTGTCTGTCTTGTAGCTGATCTCACACCTGCAAACGTATTTCTTGCATTTATCTGTAAATACCAACTGAAATCCGCCGGTGGTAAAAAGTTGACAGGTGAGTGCTACGTTTCTGATCACGGATGGGACAAGTTCTACGAGGGTGATTTCGCCTTGATTCTGTTTAATGAGGATATGATTGTAGCAGACAATGATTATGAGGAGGCATCGTTCGAATTCTACATCAGTAGTAGTCGCGGTACAGAAATTAAAGTGGAGAAATGTGGAGTTCGTGTGTTTTACGTGGATGCAGAGAGTTATACCATTAATGATGTGGTGGGAAACCAGGATTTGGATTCTGAAGAAGGGGATGGAGGGCATAGAAATCATAGTGTTCCATACTTGTTTTTTGTTTTTCTCATCTTCATGTCCCTGTTGCTTATTAAAACCAAAGTCATTTGCGGCTGAACTTCTTTTGTACGTTACTGCCTCTCATGTTGTCCCAGCATTATTCAAAACTCCAATAAAATTTCCTTTCATATGTAAGATTAGCAAATACTCCTATCGAAATTTGATTTGAGGCAAGCATTTCTAAACTATGTTCTCTCTATTTGAGAGTAAGTGTCGAATATGGAGATATGTCCGACGGAAGTTCGGATAATATAGTTATAACCTGATATGTAGCTTCTTTCCTATGAGAATGTCGTGCTGTGAAGATCATCTGATGTTTATTCTTTGATTTTAATCAGGCTGTTCGGTATAGTTAGTAAAACTTGTGGTTTATTGAACATTGTTGGGCTTGATGCCTTTTCAGATTTGAGGTCTACTTGTGTAATTATAAAATCTTCAGCACCTACTGTGAACAAGGAGCTATTTATTATACGTGCTGAACTCATTCTCCTTTTAAAGTTTACATTCCAATTTCATATGCCGCCCTCTGTTATATTGTTAAAATGTTGAAGACAAGATGGATGACCTACAGAAGATATCTTCAATATTTTTAGTTGACTTAAATATTAAATAATTAATATTTTATGGAAATTCCATGTGGATGATTTGGTTTAACCAAATTCCTCTGTGTAGCTTCCTGGGAAAAAAAACAAAAAGGCTGCATGATGAAGTGAAGCGATGGAAAGCTGCATTTGTTTCGTTTAATACGACATAGAAAAGTTGAATTACAAGTCTGAAAACGTTTCTAAAGATTTAATTGAAATAGACAATAAAAAAATATGATTTTAAATCTGATCGAATAAGAAGGCATTCGAGTAGGGAATACGTTGGTAAGGGCAAAACCACCTTTCATGGAGATTGAAATCACTTTATGTTTCAGGGTCGTTACTTCCTTCAAAATATTAGAGAAAATAGAAAAACAGGATATAAAATCATTGTAACATCCATAAATTTATAAGTGCTTAAAAATGGAAGAACCGACAAAATATACGAAGGGAACAAAATTCAATGACAATGGCTATCCTCAATTGTGTTCTACATTTGCATTTAAGCTTTTGAACCCTTTTAATGTCCTTGGATCTCGATGCTGCCAGAAATGAGGGATACTTGCATGTTGCTTGGAACTGCTGGAGAGATGTGGGAGTCTGTTCAACAAACGTAGTCTAAAGTTAATGATATCGCACAAATATATGACATTAAGAAGAAAATCTCAGCCACCAAACATGGAAGAAACTACGATTGTGACCGAGTATTCAAGTCTTTTGTAAGGGTTATGATATCTCTTGAAAGGCTTGAGCTAATTTCTGGTTGCATGAATTTAAGGAAAATCCATAATATATCAGGAGCCATCAACCTTCAATGGCTTAACTGCAAGGACTGTGCAAGCATATCAACTGCAACACATATTTGGTGTCATCCAAATGCATACCTAAATTTCCAACTTAAAATTTTATCTCGTGTTTGTGATTCTAGTTAGTTTAAGTGCTTACGATAGCGGTACATTAAAAGGGAGAGTTAGAGACATAAGGGTGGTGCTGATTGACTAGTGTTGATTACTTGATTTTCAACACATATTTGGTAGATGAACGCCGGATATAAGAAAGTCTTGTAAGCATATCAACTGTTATGAATAGTTTGCGTAAAATGGGTTAATTCCACCAAAAGTTTTCAAACTATGTAGCGACCAACTCCGTGTACTTTCAGGAACAAGTTCAATCACTTGATACCAATGTCTAGGGCCACAGACATGAACCTGTCTTCAACTGCAATAGCAAGTAAAACATTACACGCGAGAAATTTTGATAATAGACATATTAGCAGGGAAGTAGGTTGTGCTACAGTTGACATGCACTCTGACTATAATTTGGATTATTTCACACGAGATGGGACATATTGATTATGTAAGTATATATCCATTTTCATATAAGTATACATGCGTGCATTTAAAGTATAGTTTTGAACTTTCTCAAGAATATTACAAAGGATGCTTGTTGTTGACCTTCAATTATCAATAAAACATTCGATTAAGTTGATAAGCAAAAGGACTATAAGAGGTAAAATCATACCAGCAGTAATCTTTTCTTTGTTTGGGGGTGTGGTGATCCCTCAAAAGGAAGCCCGAGTTGACATTAAATATTTGTATTAATTATTAGTATTTAAAAAGAATTGTTTTACTAGTTTTTAGCAAAGTAAAAATAATATAAAATAATCGGTATAGAAAAGAAAAATAAGTATTAGAACACGCATATCCATTAAAGGTTCAAAGCACACATCAACAGATGACTCATACATTACCCAGACACTACATAAAGCTTATACATTACCCACTTTTTTACATATAAACTGGTTTTACGTCTTCCTTAAACCTAAAAACAGTTAAAAGATCATTAGTAAAACACCTACCTAAGCTTAAACATTATCAAGTGTAGAAAGTCAAAAATAATAAATGGGTTGGCACCGAAAATTAGGTGCATAATTTTTTATTATTTTTTATATGGTCAAATTACAAACTCTAGTCACTAAAATTTAGGGTATTTACAAGATTAAGTCCTTAAGATTTAGCTATAAATACTCTATCTCATTTAGCTTCAAAACCATCCCAAAGCATTCTAACTTTCTTCCAATACTAGAGAGAATTTAGAGAGTTTCTTGAGAGTTGTTTTCTCCTTTTTATCAAGAGAGAATTATCATTGTTTTCTCCTTGGTAGATCGAGAGAGAGGTTGTAATTCCTATTTTCTCATAGTGAAATTCTTCTACTGTTGCCCGTGGTTTTTTACCCTATATTATTTAGGGGTTTTCCACGTAAATTTTGTGTCTCTTTTTATCTTCATTTTTATTTTCTCAAATTATCAGTTGCAATTTTGCTCTATCCGATAGCCGTCTTCCGCAACAATTGGTATCAGAACTAGATTAGAGTGTGTAATATCTGCTTATTGTCTTTGTGGTTGCCACCAAAATGTGGATCCTCCAACATAAGAAAGTAAGAAGTTATTACCCATTCTTTGAAGGTTCCAGAGAACTATTCACGATAGTGAAATAGTGGGAGCTATCCGTAAAAGAAGCTATGGCAACGAAATTTGATATTGAAAAGTTCAATGGGAGAAATTTCTCATTGTGAAAATTAAAGATGAAGGCCATCCTGAGGAAAGACGGGTGTCTAGCGGCTATCAGTGAAAGGCCGATGGATTTTGCAGATGACAGCAAATGGATCGAAATGGACGGAAATGCTATGACAAACTTTCATCTAGCATTAGCAGATGAAGTATTGTCAAGCATCGAGGAGAAAAAGACAGCTAAGGAGATATGAGATCATCTCACCAAACTGTACGAGGCCACATCGCTGCACAATAAAATTTTCCTTGAGAGAAAATTGTACACTCTCCGTATGCCAGAATCTACTTAAGTGACGGAGCACTTAAATACACTGAACACTTTATTTTCTCAGTTTACATCTTTAAGCTGTAAAATAGGAGAACAAGAACGTGCTGAACTTCTACTTCAAAGTCTACCGGATTCGTATGATTAACTCATCATCAACTTGACAAACAGTAATGTCACCAGTCTAGTCTTCGATGACGTTGCAGCTACTGTTCTACAAGAAGAAAATCAGCGCAATAACAAAGAAGACAGACAAGTAAATCTGCAACAAGCAGAAGCGTTAACAACGATGACAACGATGAGAGGGAGATCAACATAACGTGACCAAAGCAACAATCACAAACATGGTAGATCGAAGTCGAGAAAAAAGAAGAATTTAAAGTGCTACAACTGTGGAAAGAAGGGTCACTTGAAGAAGGATTGTTGGAGTCTAAATAAAAACTCCAAACCACAAGGCAATACCGCAAACACTTCAGATGATGGAGATGCTCTATGCTGTGAAGCGTCAACCACCGTGGAAGGCAGAAAAAGATTTGCAGATATATGGCTCATTGATTCAGGAACAACATATCACATGGCCTCAAAAAGAGAATGGTTCCATCATTATGAACCTGTCTCAGGAGGATCTGTGTATAGTTGCAATGATCATGCCTTAGAGATCGTTGGCGTTGGAACCATCAAATTGAAGATGTATGATGGAACAATTAAAGTTGTTCGAGATGTGCGGCACGTGAAAGGCCTGAAGAAAAATTTATTATCCTATGGATTGTTGGATAATAATGCAAGCAAGATTGAAACACGGAAAGGAATCATGAAGGTGTTCCGTGGAGCGCTTGTGGTGCTGAAAGGCGAAAAGATAGCAGCAAACTTGTACATGCTGAATGGAGAGACTTTGCTAGAAACAGAAGCCTTTGTTGCCTCATGTAGTTCAGATTCTGCAATGCTATGGCATCAAAAACTTGGACACATGTCAGAACAATGAATGAAAGTCCTTGTGGAGCAAAAGCTACTTCCAGGCTTAACGAATGTATCACTTACTTTATGTGAGCATTGCATAACAAGTAAGCAGCACCGGTTGAAATTCAACACATCAAATTCTAGAGGCAAAAAGTGTTCTAGAATTGGTTCACTCTGACGTATGGCAAGCACCAGTTACATCCCTAGGCGGAGCAAAAATACTTTGTCTCATTTATTGATGACTACTCCAGGAGATGTTGGGTGTACCCTATTAAGAAGAAGTCAGACGTGTTTTCAACTTTCAAAAACTTCAAAGTGCGGGTGAAACTTGATTCTGGAAATAAGATTAAGTGTTTCATAACAGATAATGGAGGAGAATACACAAGCGAAGAATTTGATGACTTTTGCAAGAAAGAAGGCATCAAAAGACAGTTCACAGTGGCGAACACTCCTCAACAAAATGGAGTGGCAGAGCGGATGAACAAAACCTTGTTAGAAAGAACAAGAGCAATGTTGAGGGACGCAGGCCTAGAAAAATCATTCTGGGCAGAAGCAGTCAACACCGCCTGTTATTTGGTGAACCGAGCTTCATCAACTGCAATAGAGTTGAAGACACCAATAGAGATGTGGACTGGTAAACCAGTTGATTATTCAAACCTCCATGTATTTGGAAGTATTGTGT